CATGTGTTGCGAATGCCTCCAGAAAGGAAGGTTAAGCAACTGTTCCTTGCAAATCCGACCGGCAAAAGGCGCAGGGGACGGCCAAGATTAACCTGGTGCAAATATATGGAAGGAGTCTTTTCCAGACTCTACTTGTCTTTTACCGAAGCTCAGACTCTGGTACAGAATAGAGAACGTTGGAAGTTCTGTCTGACGAGTCTGCCTCTGCCACCCGGAAGGAGAAGCGGCGATGGAAGATAAAGATGAGTTCGATTCACCTAAAGTCAGCTGATAATACCTTGATATGCTGCATTGGAATACCGATTTGTCATTTGTACTTAGAGTTTTTGTAGAAAGTTCGACTGGTATCAGATTTTCCTTGCTGTGCTTTAGGACCATCCATTTTTTCCTCTGACTGTGTATTCAGGAGGAATTTGTTGGCAAAAGAGTTTGACATAAGGAGAAAATGTCGTTATTATAGTTATCAAAGTCCTCAGACAATCTCAGCGAACTGAGCCTCGGTATTCATAGCGTACTTCAAACATTGGAAGTGGAGTATCGAACGCTTTCGAAGTTAATGAAAATTGACACTTTGCGTTGCGCCTAGATAGCTCGCCATCACAGCTGACTTCTTTTCATTAGCCATAGAAAGGGGTGACAATGAGAGAAGCATGTTCCAGCCATTTCACGATAAATGAATAAGCACCACACGTTCTCAGTCACATCAAAAGCATTTCACATGGGGCAGTATTGAAAACAATGGTAGGTCACGAACTACAGATCTTTCATGCGTTCGCCTTTGGGCAGCCGTTTAATAATTTCCTTCGTAATGCAAACAACGACGTTGAAAGTTCGACCTTGTTCCTTGTAGGGAACTTCGAACGAATCAAGTGCGTAAGCAACTAATCATCCATTACGGGAAATATGCGGTGCTATAGGCAGTCAGAAGAGTCAAACTGAGCGCTGTCAGCCGAAATACTTAAGAATCTTTCGCCAATACAATCCTAATTAGAATTGGAATGACTAAGGCTATCAAAAATTAAGCATGAAGATAAGCAGAAGCTGAAAATATAGCATTAAATATTGCACTTTTTCGGCTAAACAAGTCTACAGCAGCTGAGAACTAACTTTATCAGGGCTTAAACGCACACTGGATCAACGATACTGATACGTCTACAGGCGTTATTGATGGTGATCGGCAACGATGAGGGAACAAGTTTGCTCGGGACTGGCTTGTATAACTTAAAGCACAAATCATTTGGATCAATTCGGTTCATTTCAGCAGTCTTGAAAATGAAACTGACATTCACTTTGAGGCGGAAAGTTTCGATGGTTCTCTAAAAAGTTTTGGTGAATGTCAACGAGACAATTATTCAGCTACAGTTCGTTCGATCGTAAAAATCACTGCTTAATCTCTGAAAAAATTGTTCGACATAGCGGGCGATGGTCTGCACTGCATCAAAGTACCTATTTTCATACACCAAAGGCAATTGTTAAGCCGTTCGGGTGATGTGCCGCTTGGAAGTTCAATTTTTTACGTTGGGCAAAGTCATTAAGGCTAGCGGTAGCTATCGTTCAGAACCACCTGCATCTAGCTTGTAGCAGTGCCAATTAATTCTTAATTTTTCTCAAGCATTGAAAGTCATGGAGAGTCGTAGGAAAATAGATATGAACGTTTTCTAGGCAAACGTCTTGTCAGGGCGAGATTCACGGGCATAGAACTCTTCCCGTTCATGCATTGGTGCCGAACTATTTTCTTGAGGAAAAGATAGGCAGGAGCTGAATAACACAGTAATCTGTAACATCTAAAATCATACGACGCGAAGAGTGATATGCATTTGTGGATAGCTTTCAGGCACGTGACAAAGAATCGCATCAGACAGTGAAATAACTCTAGGACCTGCAAGTTCGCTGCAATATACCATGTGGTCTGATGGCTACTCTGTACTTGATAATGTTAAGTCACTTCAATTACCTGCAATATCAGGATAAAGAACAGCTCAAGGCTTTAAGATGGAAATGCAGCGCGGTTCTTGCATGCCCCTATTAAACAGGCGCACTTGTGTAGTTGGATAAACCGAAACATATCTAATCTCTTTCGAAATAATGTGCCATTTTCTTTACTTAAATCGTATAGGTCGCAGGCATTATTTCGCTGCTCTGCAATATTCGACTAGAACTTTGTATTCCTATGCGTAACTGAGTCATTGATTCCAAGATATGATTCATCAATGGAAGTGTCCTGTGAAGAGTTTGGCACGATATTTTTTGCTTCTATTACTGAACCTGTTGTACGCTACATAAATCTTTGTTTTCTATTCTATTTCCAATATGCGACTGATACCAAATATGGCTATTGCATATTTAGGAGTTAAATATGAATTCCTCATCTTGTCTGTTTCAGTTAAACAGTTATGAATTCATTGCGCATTTCTATTTTTTTCTGTGCTCAAAATAAGATCACTTTGTGCTGTTATTCATGCACCCGTCTACGAACTTCCTAACATGTCAGTTCTTGTCAAAGAGGTAAACAATCACTATATAAATTTGGTGTAAATATACAATAGATAAGAATTGATTTCATTGTTTCTAAGGAACCTGTTAATCAAACTATTCTGTATGTTTTTCGCCCGTTGTATCGTTTACACAATTGATCTCTTTGATGTACATTTGCAATGTCGAAGAAGTTTTTGATCTTTACTGATGCAACAAGAAGTTAAATACAGAGAGTTAATAAACAGAGTAATGCTTATGACGAGTTTTCACTAGTTTTCACATCTTAACAGTATCACTCTTAAGTTTATTTCATACTTACAGCGCTTCATTCATGCTGAACTTTAGCTGCATTGGATATAGGCTCTTTCAGCCAAATCAATGCTTATTTGAAGTTATGGGCATTTCCAGCCATTGGAGTACAGTACATATTCTGCAAAGGATGATTCTCATGCGAGATTCAGTTTTTTCAGACTGTCGGTAGGTAAGCTAGCCATAGTTGTCAACAAAGTCTGTCTAGGCTTTCTTTCAAGGCTCCTATGGAAAGGGACAGTTTCGCGCGACCGCTCAGTCCTGTTTTGATTATTACCATTATTCTATAGAGAATGTTCTGTTTCTGTTGTTTCTAAAAGTTTACTATTTGCCAGTGAACAAAAGCAAGATTTGTTGTTCTCGCATTCGGCTGTGCGCTGTCCGAACAAACGGTCAGTCGATCGGTTGGTCGGCACATTGGTCAGTTCTGACTTTGATGTCGAAATCCGGCATGAAAATAAATGGACGATTGAGGTCATGAAGTAAGTAAGCGTGGAAGAGGTCGGTAGGTAGCAATTTTTTATGATGTTTGTACTTATTTTGTAGTCGCACGAAGCAGTGCATGGCGGCGTGGTACTACGCAGTGCGCAGCGGTTACAAGCCGGGCGTCTACGAAACATGGGATGACTGCAAGCGCCAGGTGGACGGCTTCAGCGCGGCTGAGTTCCGCAAGTTCAAGAAAAAGCAGGATGCCCTCAAATTCATAGGCAGTGCATCGTCAGACGCAGCTCTTTACCCAGAAGATGAAAGTGCCACCGCCGGATCTTGGGTTCGGAACAACTTGCTGAAGGAAACAAATCACAAGCTTCGAGAGAAGCCTCAGTTTACTCTGTCGCGAAAGGTACAATCTTTTAGAACGAGCAAAGCAAGCATGAAAATTTTAATTCACTGCGTGTCTGAATGACGATCATTTCGTTTCTTCTCTTGATTTCTGCTCAAGTATTTGATGTACAGAATACGCTGTAAAGCAGTATCTTTGCGCGAACTTGTACCTACAAAATTTCAGTGGTACATATCTCAGGAACTCTCAACCTTGCCCTGTTCGAAAAACTGGTTGTCGGCTAATTTTGGTGACTTGTGATCAGAATCTGTACCCTCTGTTTCTCGTGGTGTCGTTCAGCTTTATTTAGCATTTAATTTTTGTTTTTTGCTTAAAGGCGATATCCTACGTATTGTTAAATTTGTGGACTATGGCGACAATTTTGCACTGAGGTAAAATTTGTTTATTTACAGATGTATTTCCGGCTGTACACCGGTCTCGTCATCCAGCGTCTTTAGTATGTAGCCGCTGCTTCTCCAGATTGAGAAGTCACATCTATAATGGTTCGAGCACGTATTGCGAATGCTTCTATAAGGAAGGCGAAAAGCTACTCACTGTCTGATTGACTAACTAATTGAATAGTTGATGAAACGCCACAATCCGGTGTCTGCTGGGACAGGACCAGGTTTAGGTTAGAGGTTGTTTTGAGGTGGGAGCGACAGCAGCTATAATTTGCGAAAGGGCCTTGCTAGAAGCTTCCTGATCCAGACCAGGGGCCATGTTATGTGTAAGGAATTGTACGTCATAGACATATGTATGTCATAGACATAAATTGGCCTAGAGGGATGACCTGTAAAATCACGACGATGTCAGATAAGTCGATTGGTGGATTTTAATCTGGACAGAAGAGAGCCTGGAGTTACATCCAAATCTTGGTCCCATCCGTATACAGTGTTTGTAATATGTTCATATGTGAAATAAATTTCAGTCTTTGTTACAAAGTAAGGTTAA